GAATGCACAAAGGACAAGATCAACGTTGGGGAAGACAGTCTCGACAGTTGCCTCCAATGCCCTAGCGCAATCAACAGCAAATGTTCGTGTAGACGAAGTTTCCCCTATCATACGCCTAAAGGCATCCAACATCCATGTTACATCTGTCCTTTGTTGTCGCTTAGTCCACCCAAACATAATTGGGCGACTGTTACCGTGGTTATCAGTGACAACAAATTGAAACAATTTATAGCTGTACTTCATGTTAGTGCTATCACGATGGACTTACTTGCCCTTGTTCATAGGTTGAATCGAAGCATACAACCTCAGGAAATTGGAGGTAGGTGGCTATTTGATCGGTACTGCTGAAGCAGACTAGATCAACCTGGTGATGCTCACCATCACTCCAGGTTATCAGCTGACCACTACTTCTTAATTTAGCGAATACTACTGTCTGAGTTCCATATCCTGCAGAATAAAAATTATTAAGGAAACATGTTACTTGGTGTTATTTTCCTCCGGATATTCTCCATGTAGTCATAAGTTATTTCCTTTGACATAACGTTTTTTACATACTTAAAAACACGATCCGGTTTAGACCCAACTGTCAGCATGGGTCGAACAACCTTCATTCCCTCCTCGGATAATCGTCCGGACCAAGGGTCTATCTCAAGATAAGTCACATCACATGGATGGTTGTGCACCATCTTGAAACTTGGAAAAATAAAGTGATTCAAATCATAACGTATTCTGATTCCAGATTTACAACCAATGTACTTCGATCTAAAACGCTACTCTTAACAAATTATTATACAGCCCCTTAACTCACTGTTTGGTGCCCTCCGACTTTTTCCGGTTACCAAAAGTACACGCCAACACAACATAGTGGTACTTCACTTCAGCATCTCCTTTATATCGACTGCATTCCCTCACAACGTAGTGAGTATTCGTCATCTAAACATCGAGTTAAGTGACTTTTTAGCATACTTTCTGAAATGTATTTATCGCTTCTTCGACTTGACTCCAGACAGTAAAATGTCTAGGTCGTATAATCTGCTCAGACACCTCAGAAATATCAACACACGTTGCGCTAGCCAGGCTAGCACTGCTCGTAGAAGCTTGATGAGAATCCATGAAGCTATGAAAACGAATAGGTAAAGCATTCTTCTTAGAGGACTTTGGGATGAAGTCTTAATAAACAGCAACGGGATGTATTAAAATTTGCACAAACTTCCAGATAAGGGCTGTAAACGTTGAAGTAATTCGGGGATCAGGGGCACCACAGGCAGCATCACGGCCTTTTTAACGGTTAGCCAACTTCTAACACAACAAGAACAACATAACGCGGATAAATTTACATTAACCCATTAACATAACATAAAGAAATAGAATTCAACAAACAAATATGCAAAAAACACTCTTTTTATAACTGACCTGCGTCCCCAAACATTGCAAACAATAAAAAACAGTTAACGAAACAGGCAATCAACGAAGGCTGTATCATAAACGGGGCATAATTGAGTAAAATTCATAACATAGGAACGACAACAACGTCTATAACTTTAATAAATCAACGAAAAACTCTTTATCACGAAACCAATCGTCTAACATGGCCTACTAAGATGGCGGGAAATGACCTTACAATGGTCACAAGACACCATTCTGATTGGTTTCCAAGTTGTAAGGCGCTTCTTCAATTTTGCCTGTAGGGTACCAGCAGTCGGCAGATAGCATAGACGGTAGTTAAAAAAAATGAGTGAGAAATCACTAACAGTACATGAAAGGCGTAAATTACGTGAAAAACTCAAATCTTACAAAGTAATTGTAAGAAACTTGAGAGAAATTGATATCTTTCTGGAGCTGGATCGTATCTAATGGAAATATAAATATTTTAACTGTCTACTTAATTGGAAAGTAACAGTGATGAACTTGACACACGTTGACAGTTAACTTTATTCGATAAGGATTATTCTCAAAATGTTGAATTCTGTTAAAGGTTTACTGAGAACAGTTATTTAAATAAGTAAATTTCTGTATAATCTGAAAGTGATTAGAAGAACAAAATTTGATTTTCCTAAGTATTTTCCTATGCATATCGCACATTCTTCACCAAAATATTCATATTTTTATTTTTAAAAGGGCTGTGATTAGATTAAAAACTAATTATAACATGATTAAATCAGATTCTCTGCTGAAAAATACTTCTACGATATTCGCAATGACTGACGATTGGGTAAAATCGCCTAGTTTACCAGTTCACTGGTTTACCAGCCAGTCTTAACCTAGCATAGACAGGGGAGATCGAGCGAAGGACAAGCAACCCAACCCAGCAAAATCAATTCAATCGCTAAAGAAACTTCAAAACATAAGTTTCTAGAACACAGGAAAGAAGCAGGACAAGATGGAATTCCTCCAGAAACATTGAAAACAGATGCAGTAACATCAGCAACCAAAATGCTCACATCACTATTCCACAAAGCTTCGAAGGAGAGAAGGAAGGAAGGAAGGAGAGGTACCTGCTCATTGATTGGAAGAAGGGCTACCTTATCAGAATACTCCAAAAGAACGACCGGTGACCTCAGTCATTGCGAGAACAATAGCTGGTGAGCAATCATGTTGACATCCACCCGAAGCAAACAAAATATCAAGCCACATCATTCTGGAAAGACTAAAATGTGATCTGGATTCAACTGGATTACGAACGGAACAGCCTGGCTCGCTGACTGCCTGACTGGCCGGCTGACTGACTGACTGACTGACTGACTTCAAGTAAAACAACTCATGTGTGGATCACATTGCAACAGAACGCAACGCAACACAACGCTATGCTACACTACTCTACTCTACTCATCAGCATAGAACACAGCATAGAATGACAATCAACTCCCTACCTCACATCAACTTCATCCACTTTGGAAAAGCCTTCGACAGTGTCGACCGAGAAGTAATTTGGTAGGCAGCTGCTTCAACACTACACTTTTAGTGCCACAAACCTTCATCAACCTCACTGAACACCAGCTATATGCAATATGATGCCACATGCTACATGTCAGCTGATTCACAATGGGAAGCTGAGTGATGACATTCAAGTGAAACGAGGCGAGGCGAGGTGAGGCAGTGATTGAAGGCAAGACATTCTTCAGGTTAATGTAGAGAAGACGGAGATGATGAAGATATCCACCCATCACCACCAGCAGTAACAACGACAACAACAACAACAAGTAAGCGAAATCACCGTCAACGGGATAAATCTACACGAAATTGTCTTTTCCATCTACCGACCGACCTCTCTACCTTCTCACCTACCTAGGCAGTATCGTCTTAACTACAGGCGGCGGTGGCGACACTGCTGAGGACATCAAATCCACCATCGAGAAGACAACAAGACATGCCTTCCTTCATCAATCTGAAATCAGTGTGAAGATCTACCACACTATACTACACTGCACTGCACTGCACTGTGAGGCACACAGCATAAAGCCTGAACAATATCCGGATTTTCAACACTGATGTCATGTCAGTCAAGTCAGTGCTTCCATGTGATGGTTGATAGAGTTGGTGCCTTACCAAAAGTATTTGCAACATACCACAGACATTCATCAACAACTGCCGCCTACGCTCACTCACTCGATACTACTGATCAGATGAGATGAGATGAGATCAGATGATCAGAATAGTAATAATGATAAGCAACGAGGAACTCACTCTGGTTGTCTGGCTGGTTGGCTGCCTGGCTGGTTGGCAATGAAACAACGAACAACCCATTGCCGAAAAAAATGTCCAGAAGAAGGTGGGTGTGGATTGTATTGTGCATAAACTGAGAAGACCGTTTGAGGACGTCACGCAACAGACAACGCCATGTCGTCAAGTGGAGGCGAAATGGGAAACGAGGAGTTTGGCTTTGGAGGTGAAGTTGACATGGAGGAGATCGTGTGGGCGAGAAACGAAAGCTTGTGGGAAGTGGTGGAGTCAGGTTGAGCTGAGTGGGTAGGAGAGAGTGGAGTGGCGAAGTGCTAGTGAAGCCGTATGTTCCATCTGGAATGCAAAGGACTAATAATGATAGTAATAATAATAATTATTATTATTATAATTAGAATAATAATGGACTGGATGCTTTCGCAGATGTTTTTTGTGTTTTCCTTTTTACTTTACCGTATACTGAACACTACTACCTCAGGATGACCTGGTAACCGGATGCTCATAGTATCTGACAGATGCGGAATTTGTTGTATAATTCCTAATCACCCGTTATGATTGTTCAAACGATTACTCACGAAGTGCTGAATAAGTTGAACAATATTCCTGATTTCAACAAGTACTTAGCTTTACTTTTGATAAGCACAGCCTGTGAAGTTAACAGTATACGATCTCTTAGCGTCCTGATTTCGAAAAATAACTTGAAAAGTTATTTAAGAAGATGTCCCCTCCCAGATATATCACCTATTCTCAAGTCAACTGTTTGGTTACTGATTACTATTATTGTGATAAGTGATGGTGTTCAGAACTGGTTAAAGCTGCTCACAAAGTTGATTGATTGGATTGATTCGCGAGACGCAAATTACATGAATGGTGCTTTCGATTCAGAAGAAAAAATGTGTGTCTAATCTTCGTCACAACTGGAAGGTGAGGGTATTGCATATCCAGTATTATTGCTAAATATGTTAGTCCTAAAACAGAGTCTCACGCTCTTACATGCATCAGTCACGTCACACGCAGTCAACCTCAAGACATTTTACATTTTGTCAATGAGTTTCTAGAATGTTTGTTCTCCTTGGCTGCAGATAATGGCGCAAATATCCAACGACATGTCTGTATAGCATTTAAACAGTTGTTGGAGGCACACTTAGATTACTTCCTCATCTATCTAACATCATACAGTTAATGCTCTTACGAAGTCAAGAAACTGATGTAAATACTTTAAGAGAGACTTTCGGTTTTCGGCTTTCACTTTCAAAGCAACCTGTATGTATCAAGCAATATCACCATTTATTACAAAACTTATTTGAGTTTCAGTGCATGAAATGAAGTATTCTGAAAGTGAAATAGTTTCACTTAGGAATGATGCCAAGAAAAATGCTCATGTATTTTATGAGGAATCTCATATTCGTCCGCGTTTCCATAAAACTAAGAATAAAGTTTTCTCAAGTGGGAAAGATGATGAGGATGAAGACGACGATTATGTTTTCAAATGGAGTTTAAGGAAGTGTTCTGCTACTGTTCTCGACGTGTTGGAGGATGTGTTTAATATGGATTTTCTGTCTATGCCGTTACCTATAACAAAAGAACTTCCATTCTCTCCTCAATAGGAACTAGAAGTGTCCGGTATCTTGGTCCTTCGTTCTATTGGAGAAGGTTGTCTGAAGTGTATGGTTTCATACCTCCCAGAACTCTGCCTGCTTCCTATTGAATATCTGTCAGATGATAAAGTGTTTTGAAATTGTTGAAACATAATCTTTATCTGTGTGTGACTCAAAGAAGCTTAGTAACCCATACAGGAGATCGCAGTTATTTGTCTGGATCATGCTAACTTGGTTTTATTGAGCCGTTTCCTGCGTTCAGACCTAATTTCTTGGTTTATGGTCATCAAAATAACTTTTCATGTAACTTGAGGTATCACCAGATCAAATTCTTATCATACCACAAATAAGATAACCGTTTTAATGCGGAAGCAAAGTCTTTTGTGGATGACTCAAAAGTCATTAGAATAGTGAGATTTTTTTATTACAATTAGGTTACATTCTACTGACAAACTCCAGTGGATAGACGTAATTAGTTCGAATTGCATTTATTGTTTGTTCTTACTTCTACTGGTAAATAATATGGAATATTCAGAGACTAGATAGGTTGATGTATTTGTCATTGACTGGTCAAAGGAACGTTCATAAATGACTGAAGTTTCTTGATGTAGCTGAATTCATTCTCTTCTCCCATCACTTTTGTTTGGCCTATTCCAAGTGGAACTAAATTCGCAAATGATAGATAGTGGTTCGCAATAGAGTTAAGGACATCCATCTGTTCCTATTTAGAGTTTGTAAGCTGGATGTACTTGCAAAAAAGTGAGTGATATTGTTCACACTTTGACTTATGCTTAGGACTCATGATTTGAAACACCATGGCGATATCTATTACGTTAATTAATTATGATAACCAATCCTTGTGCAGTGGTTATATTATTTTGATGTTATTAGTAGCAGCATCCGTTTACTAACTGGGTGAAATTGATCAGTCATTATTAGTGTATGAGCTTCCATTCAGTTACCGTAATTAGTATCAAACTAAAACCACCGGCAATATTGAAGCATCCACACAGAGGGTTTTGTGTCAACACAGTGACTGAACAGTTCGATCCAGTGGAAAACAATTTACCATAATGTATGAAGTAAAAATGAGTGTATCGCTAAATTTGTTTAAAGATAAAATGAAAGACAAGTGTGATGCAGTTGTAGTCAAAATGAAACTTAATTGACCTAGAAGTAGTCTATAAAAATGCATCCATAAATTTAGTCGTCAGTGTTCATAGAAGGAAACAAGTAATATACAATTACACTTGATTTTGTATCAAGTACTGATGTCATTTACAGAACCAATAAAGACGAAAAAGCACTGAACAGCTATTTAGTCCGAGTTCATTACTTCTTAACAAGGCACACCGTAAATGCTGTGCTGAGGCTAATCCATGATTATTCTACAATATCATACTTCTCTTAATTCACAATACAGTGGAACTATAACCTAATGTCAGCACTCAGTATTTTTCTTTATATGTGATATACTGGGTGATGATTGAAGGTGGAGTGAAAATTTGGGTCACGGCAGAATTCGAACCAGCCACCCCTGGGCTTCAGGCACAGTACTCTACCAACTGACCTATGAGACTCGACTTCTGACTAGATTTTTATTTCACTTCAATCACCATGGATTTTGTTCGGCTACCATGTGAATTAATAATGTGTTTCTATCAGTCAGGTAAAGCAACTGGTTGGAAACCAGGGGGTAGCTGGTTCGAATCCCACTACGGTCTAAATCTTCATTTCATAATCAATCATGACCTAGTATTAGTATTAGTCTGCCAAACCATGACTGTTTCTAAAAGTAAAATGATATGTGATATATATAGCTGATCTTTAGAGGTTTGTTTTCCAGTGGAAACGTTGTAGCACGGCTTTTACAATTGCTTCATTGTTAGTCGGCTGAAAAATTTACTGAGGCATCGATTGATGTCAAGACAGTTGTTAGTCCATAAAAATTCTTTATTTTATAACATATTTCATGATTACTTATGTACTTAAACGTAAAGATATGTCCACAGAGAAGAAACGTTTTAGAGAATCAGTACTTAGGTCTTAGTGATAGGAAATAGTCATTCCTTGAGCTATCACCTCAACCTGTCATCTGATGATTGATAAGACTCTCTCGTCAAATGCCTGTTTCATACTGTTTTAGGATAGTTTTTACAGCCAAAAACCTTATCTTTTCTTATCCATCTTTTGTACCAAAAGAGGTAGAAGCTTATTCGTGACTAAATAAAGACAATATACTTATTTCTTTGCATGGTTTTTTTTTATCATAGCTTTCTCTTTCATCTTCTTACGGTTTACTCGGATACCTCTCATCTTTCTCACCATTTAACAGACACATTTCTGAGTAGTAAATATAGAACAAGTGTGTATATGAGTTAATACATAAAGTGAGGCTATAAAGAGGCGATCTAGAACAAAGCCTTCTATGAAAAAGTGAAATGGAGAGAACACAATGAAATTTACAATAACAATAAACTATTATTATTTGATTAATATGAAATACTACTATTAATAGATATCAGTAACAAGTTTAGGCTTAAACTGGTTATAAGGACAGAAGTTGTGAAAGAAAGTTATTCATCTTGAACCTTAGTAAATAAATGAATCAGTGAAACAGATGGAGAGAAAAGAGACTAAATAAACAATAACAAGAGAAACTACATACATCCGTGTATAAGTTAGAAAGAGAAATAGATTTAGAGAGTGGAGGCAATAGGAGAAAGGAGAGGATTAAAAACACCTAATTTGATATTCTTTGTTCTGATGAAAGAGAAGTGGAAGGTGTAGTGTTTACTCATTCATAAAACAGATGTGACAAAGCAATAAATGAACAAATGGCCAAGAGTAGTTAATTCTATAAAACATGAATTTGCAAGCGGAGAACAGTAAAGTTGCAAGAATAATATAATTAATTTTGGTTTATAAATATATAAATAGGATATAAATTCTAGTTTCATTTATTAACACATAAGCAGAAGAAAGTGGAGATGGATTGGACTGTACATATACTGAGAAGATCGTTTAAGGAAGTTACGCGTCAGACCACGTCAGGCCGTCGAGTGGAAGCCTAATGGGAAATGATAAGTTGGGCATCGGAGGTGAGGGTGACATGGAGAAGATGGTGTGTGAGGAAGAAAGGAAAGCTTGTGGGAAGTGGTGGAGTTAGGTTGAGCTGACTGCAGAGACGAGATTGGAATGGCGAAGTGCTAGTGAAGCCTTATGTTCCTCTAGGAACTCAAAAGACAAATACTAATCATAATAATTGGCATGAAAACGACTTATTATTACTATTGATTGTCCTCTCAGTTCCTAGTGCAGTGCATTGCAGTAGAGTGGAGTGCAGTACATTGCGATAGATCTCCACACTGATTTCAGATTGATGAAGGAAGGCATGTCTTGTTGTCTTTCCGATGGTGGACTTGACATCTTCATCTATGTCGCCGCCGTCGTCGCCGTCGCCGCCGCTGCGTGTGTTCGAAACGATGTTGCCTAAGTAGGTAGGTAGGTAGGTTGGTAGGTCGGTTGGTGGATGACAATGACAACTTCGTGTAGATTTATCTCGTTGATGGTGACTTCTGCACTTGTTATTGTCACTGCTAAAGGTTGTCGTTGGGTATCTTCGTAACATCTGTCTTCTGTACGTTCACCTGAAGGAAGTCCCGTCTTCACTCACTGCCTTACCTCGTCTCACCGCGCCGCGCCTCTCCTGACAACTTGTTAGTTTTCGCCTGTATATCTCCGAGTTTGTACAGCATCACACATTACACATAAATCATCATCATCATCATCATCGACGAAATACAAATCTTCTCCTAGGGTCTTTTCATCCGTCTAACCAGCGTATGCCCATCTTCTCACTCCTCACAGTTGTCTGTTGCATGATCCACTCCAGTCCTGTGCACTACATTACAATACATTACAGTCAAGTCCAGTACAGTACAGTACAGCACAATCCAGTTCAGTACAGTAGACCACAATCAAGAAGAGCATCGGTAATCATGGTAGGTGACAACCTTGTCTTACTCCTCCCTGTCTTCACTTCACTTCACCTCGCTTCACTTGAATGTCATCACTCAGCTTCCCATTGTGAATCAGCTGACATTTAGCATGTGGCATCATATTGCATATAGCTGGTGTTCAGTGAAGTTGATGAAGGTTTGTGACACTAAAAGTGTAGTGTTGAAGCAGCTGCCTACCAAATTACTTCTCAGTCGACACTGTCGAAGGCCTTTCCAAAGTGGATGAAGTTGATGTGAGGTAGGGAGTTGACTGTCATTCTATGCTGTGTTCAATGCTGATGAGTAGAGTAGAGTAGAGTAGAGTAGCATAGCGTAGCGTTGCGTTCCATTGCAATTTGATCCACACATGAGTTGTTTTACTTGAAGTCAGTCAGTCAGTCAGTCAGTCAGCCGGCCAATCAGTCAGTCAGTCAGTCAGCCAGCCAGCCGGCCAACCAGGCTGTTCCGTTCGTAATCCAGTTGAATCCAGATCACATTTTAGTCTTTCCAGAATGATGTGGCTTGATATTTTGTTTGCTTCGGGTGGACGGCAACATGATTGCTCACCATTTGTTGTTCTCGCAATGACTGAGGTCACCGGTCGTTCTTTTCGAGTATTCTGATAAGGTAGCCCTTCTTCCAATCAATGAGCACGTACCTCTCCTTCCTTCCTTCCTTCTTTCCTTCTCTCCTTCGAAGCTTTGTGGAACAGTGTTGTGAGCATGTTGGTTGCTGATGTTACTGCATCTGTTTTCAATGTTTCTGGAGGAATCTCATCTGGTCTTGTTGCTTTCTCGGCTTTTAGCAATTTTCTGGCGTTCAGGACTTCTATCCTGCTTTCGCTGGAGGTTTTTTGTTCACTGGTTATTCTGTGGCTGGGTTGTGCTTGGCTAGTCTGCTGATGGTATTTCTGGACTCGATGTAGGTGATAGTGGTAGTGGTTGATTCAAGAGTTTTTTGAAGTGGTCACCTCATCGTTTGCTTTGTTTCTTCTCTTTGCTGACTAAG